TTTTTTTGCTGCACCACACAGCATGAGGGATCTTCAATCCCGACCAGTGACTGAACCCATGCCCCCTGCATTGGGAGTGTGGAGTCCTAACCACTGGACCACCATGGAAGTCCCTGAAGAATTTGTTTTAAAAATGCCATGTGTTATACCATTTTTGTCATTTTTTCCTACATGATCATTTTTAATGACCATGAGGGTATTATGCTAAATGAAATAAGTCAGACAGAAAAAAACAAATACTGTATGATCTCACTTATATATGGACTCTAAAAAAAAAAAAAGCTCATAGATACAGAGAACAGATTGGTGGTTACCAGAAGCAGGGGTTGGGGTATAGGCGAAATGGGTGAAGGTAGTGAAAAGGTACAAACTTCCAGTTATAAAATGTCCTGAGGATCTAATGTACAGCATGGTGACTATAATTAATAATACTCTACTGCATATTTGAAAGGTGCCAAGAAAGTAGATCTTAAAATTTCTCATCACAAGAAAAAAAAATTTTTTGTAGCCATGCATGGTGAGAAAGGTTAACTAGAATTATTGTGGTGATCATTTTGCAATATATAAAAATATTGAATCATTATGTTGTGCACATGAAACTAATATGTTATATGTCAATTATATCTCAATACAAAAAAATAAATAAAAATTAAGAAAAGACAGTTTGGTATTAGCCAAAAAACAGTCTGTATGATATGCCACTTTTTTCTTTTTTAATAAATTTATTTATTTATTCATGGCTGCATTGGGTCTTTGTTGCTGCACGCGGGCTTTCTCTAGTGGCGGCGAGCAGCAGCTACTTTTCGTTGCGGTGCGTGGGCTTCTCACTGCTGTGGCTTCTCTTGCTGCAGAGCACGGGCTCTAGGCACGTGGGCTTCAGTAGTTGTGGCACAAGGGGTCAGTAGTTGTGGCTCGCGGGCTCTAGAGCGCAGGCTAAGTAGTTGTGGCGCACGGGCTTAATTGTTCCACGGCATGTGGGATCGTCCCAGACCAGGGCTCGAACCCGTGTCCCCTGCATTGGTAGGTGGATTCTTAGCCACTGTGCCACCAGAGGAGTCCGATATGCCATTTTTGTCATTTTTTCTTAGTAAATAAGGGGTCATGACTATACTCATATACTTTGTGCACACCTTAATTATTATTTTATGCTCCATTTCCTAGAAGTAAAATTCCTGTGTCAAAGAGAAGGAATGCTTTCAAGGCTGTTGAGATGTTTTGCCAAATTGCTCTCTGGGAAGTTGCTACTTATTTGTACTTCCCCCAGGTGCAAATGTGAATGTGTCTATTTCCCTGCATCCCACTTAATGGTGGGAATTATTGTTTGAAACTGCTTTCCAATTTGAGATGCTAAAATACTATTTTGTTTTAATATTCATTTTCTCTGATTACTTTCAAAGCTAACATTTTTTTCCCACATTGGTGATTAGCCACTTTTTTTTTTTAATTTACTTTTGGCCACACCCCACAGCATGCGGAACTTCCCCGACCAGGGATCAAACCCGTGCCCCCTGCACTGGAAGCATGGAGTCCAAACCACTGGACCACCAGGGAAGTCCTAGTCACTTCTTAAATATATTTTTTTCATGTCTTCTGAGTTCAGTTGGGGATTTTTTCCAAATAAGAAGTAGCATCAAATTGTATTATACCCACTCTTCAATTTACTGTCCCTGTCTCTGCCCCTTTCCTCCCCAGAGATACCCAAGAAAGTATCTTGCCTGAAACAGCATAAGAAACCTCATTCCACACAGTTCCAATGTATTGTGATTGAGCAGTTGGGCAAAAAAGAACATGACTTAGCACTGCTAGGAAATACATTTTTAGTAGCTCCTGTGCATATAGAAGCAAACTGCTGCCTTTGAGAAGATCTCAGGGATAGAGAGACTGCTTTTAAAAAAAGTAGACAAGATAAAAAGTGTTTTACTATGTTAGATGTTTTGAGCACCTGAAAAAAGAGGTGATGGATAAATACCAAGTTTTATGTATTACTGTTACCAGTAGTGTCAGCCGCACACTTTCCCTTTTTGTTTTGTTTTATTTTGTTTTGAATCATCTGCTGCTGTTTCACATCTACCTTCTCTGTTGGTTTTTCAGATTGGACAAGTTGTCCTGGAAGATAGTCTTAGATTCTTAAAATTAAACTTTAAATATTATTTAAGAATATATATAATTACCATGTATTTTATTTCTGTGCTTTTCTCTTGCTTCCTGGTGAGACCTGTAAAATTTCAGGAAATGATCTGCTTTATGAGTAACAGATTAGCAAACAAAACCATTGTGGATTACTCCTTTCCATTTCCCTCTTCAAACTTTGGTGAAATTAGCAGCTTAATAATGATAACATGTCAGAGAACTCAGTAAATATTTATTGAATGAAGGAATGAACTGCTACACAAACAAATCCTAGAGAAGAGATTAATGTGTAACCTCACTTTTTATTGTCTCTGTGTGCAGTCTTGGAAGTGGATCCTCACACCAGTCATTATTTACATCTTTGAAAGGATCCTCCGATTTTATCGCTCCCAGCAGAAGGTTGTGATTACCAAGGTAAAGAATATGCACTTTCTTCTTGCTCTGCTAAGAGTTGTGTTCTTCCTGATTATAGAAATAAATTGCCACATTGTCACCTTGACAGGAATAAAAAAGAATTTGAGGGCAATATATTTGAGTTCCTCCAGAGCTGGACAGAGCTGGAAAGAGAGGTTTGGCAGAAATCATCAGCTTGGGTCTATGTCAGAAGCTGCAAACAGGCAGTCTGCGCCATATCTAGCCCACAGACATATTTTGTTTGGCACACACCCTGATTGTTTAGAAAGTCAAATTGGTTGCTAACATTTAGAAATCTGGATGGAGGCTTTCACATTGAAAAAGTGGCATTTCTTGTTGCTTTTCCAACCTACCCAGTTACAGCACAGGGAATTATATTCAATATCTTGCAATAACCTATAATGGAATATAATCTGAAAATAATAACTGAATCACTATGCTGTACACCTGAAACTAACACAATATTGTAAATCAACCATGCTTCAGTTGTTTAAAGTGGCATTTCTGGTTTCTCTTGAAGAATCAGGCAACCTGACAATGCTGAGTCTTGGCTCCGTAGTATGACCATTGTCTGGACTTGGTAACTGCTGCCCCTTTAGAAAAGACTTGTGTTCGCAATTTACGGCCATCACCAGCTCTCCAGCTTTACTTATTTACCTTATCTGCCTGCTCCTGTCGCCATTTGAATTTGCCTCCTTTGGCCTCTGTGCTTTATTCATAGGATGGGTCATGTACCCATCCAAAGTTTTGGAATTGCAGATGCACAAAAATGGCTTCAGCATGGAAGTGGGACAGTATATTTTTGTTAATTGCCCTTCAGTCTCTTACCTGGAGTGGCATCCCTTTACCCTGACCTCTGCTCCAGAGGAGGACTTATTTTTCCATTCATATCTGAGCAGTGGGGGACTGGACAGAAAATCTCATAAGGGCTTTTGAACAACAGAATTCACCAGTTCCCAGGTAGGTCCTTAAGAGCAGCAGAGACCCAGACCAGAAAGCAGACAAGCAGAAAAGAGAAAGCAATTCCGCATTGAAACTTAAGTCTGGTACAATGGAGTATGATTAAAATAAACAGGTAGCAATCAGCTGTGGAACAGCTCTGCCTCTGGGAGGATTTTTGAGGTTGTGGGTGGAGGTGAGACTTCACTTGCCCTTTGTTTTTTGCCTTCTGCCAGGATCAAGGTGGATGGTCCCTTTGGCACTGTCAGTGAGGATGTCTTCCAGTATGAAGTGGCTGTGTTGGTCGGAGCAGGAATTGGGGTCACCCCCTTTGCTTCCATCTTGAAATCCATCTGGTACAAATTCCGGAATGCAAATCACAACCTCAAAACACAAACGGTATGCTCCCGAATACCACTTTTCATCTGGTCTGGGCCTGATAGGTCCATTGCTTTCATGGGCTAAGCTCTTTACAACTGGTAAGAGAGTAACCCCTCCCTGGAGTTATGAGAGTGAGTGATCACTTCTCCCTGCCAAGTCATCCGCTTCTACAGACTTACCATAAGAACTGGGTCTTCATTTTTTTTTTTTTTTGAAATCACCACATTTTATTTCTTTCATGTGTCTCTTTAAAAAATTGGTAAGTACTTATATTGATCTCTCTTGTACTAGGCACTGTGCCAAGTCACTTACATATTTACTCCTTTAAACCTTCTGTCATCCCTGGGGGAAAGTTCTATTTTGCTTCCATTTCTTAGCTAAGACTCTAACCCCCAGGAAAGTAAAGCAACATTTGTAAGTTTTTGTGGATGGTCAGTGACGGGACCAGTACAGGAACATCCAAAGTCTGTGCTTGGAAACAGTGCCCCATGTTGACGCTCACATTACAGATGAAAGGAAAGGAACCATGCACTTACCATATAGATTAAATCTCACATTACAGGTTAAAGGAAAGGAACCATGCACTTACATTATAGATTAATACCCACATAACAGGTTAAAGGAAAAAGAAACATGTGCTTCTCTCAAAAGTTGTAAAGAAGGCATATCCATTTCTAAATTTATTTCCCAATTTCTTTTGCTTGTTTTCTGACCTTTGTAGTGCATTTTGCCATGAGGAAAATTTTAATTCTTATATAATTAAATGTATCCTTTTTTCTTTGTATCTTAGAAAGGTATTCCTCATGAATAATTTATTTCAAGTCTCCCAGGTTTCTGATACTTTTACACTTTCATTATTTTTTCACTTTTAACTAGTTGCTGTATCTAGAATTTAGTAATTCTATGATAGCCATATTTTCCCACTTTTGTTGAATAATTTTTGCTGCTGATCCAAAACGTGAATTTTATTTTAATCTCAATTCCCTTATGCTCTCGCATCTAATTTTAAGATGCTTCCTATCCCACTGGTTGTTTTGTCTATCTAAAACAAAATGCTACCTTAAAAATAATGTAATTATAATATAATAAATGTCATTAGTAAACATAATACAATATATAATAAATAGCATAATATAAAATAACAAAATATAATTTACCATATAACAAGGTCAAAGGAGAGCAAAAGTATACAATCACTTGAAATATCCCCCAAAAGATATTTTATAAAATTCAATATTCATTTGTAATTTAAAAGAAAGAGTAAAATAGGGATTGATGAATGCTTCCAAAATAAGAAGAAATTATATGTCTAAAAGAGAAAGAGGTAAGTGATAGACTTTAGTAACACTGGCAATAAATGCAGGACAAGATGAGGATGCCTGATATAATGTTAAAGAAAAAGTATTATGTAACATTGTGTTTGCAGCACTGATGAGTTCAGTGAAAAGAGAATCTCATAGAAAAGAGTATCTCGTTCTTCTTAATGTATGTACACTTGTCCATTGCATGAACATAACAGCTTATTTAACCAATATGTTACTGATCTGCATCTGGATTTCTAGGTTTTCATGGAATTTTATTATGCACAGTTGCTTCAAACACTAGGACTTCCTCTTATGTTTATATCTTTTGAAAGAAACAATATCTCCACAGATGATTTATCTGTGCTGGCTGCTAGCTGACTTTGGGTACTTCTCAGTTCTTCCCTTTACCTTCCTAGTCAATATGAAAAGGGAAGGCAAGAAGGTCTCCTGTTTAGAGACTGTAAAGGTAGGTCTTGGTGATAAAGTCTTGGTGGTAAAGGCTAAAAGTATTAACCCAGAACAAATGTTTTTCCAGCTGTAACTGTGTGTGATTCCCTTGGCTTGATTCCGTAGAGGATGTAAGACAAGACTGTAGAATCTGCCCTCAAAGTGCTTCCAGTAGGATGAGCTAAGTCACGTATGGTGGCATATCTAATTCAAGACAAACTATAACGTCTCCTTTTCTCTCCTGGCAAAACTTGGTGGAGTGAATGTAGAAGTCACTGTATGCTTTAAATTAAAGCAACACTATAAATCGTGTATTGGAAGGTGCTTATTCTGGTCTCTTTGTGGAGACGAATTGGAAATTGTCTAGAAGGAAAATTAGGTTAACCGAAGTTAAACTCATAAATAATTGAGCATTAATTAAATATCTGTGGTCTATGTTTCTCTTTGATCATAATTTCTCCCAATTTATAGACCTCTTTGATACCTGATTAATCCTTGTCAAAGATGCAGTTAACAATGATTATTACTGTGTATTAGGTTTTGCCTGGGCCCTGAAGAAACTATCCTAAATCACCAGCTATGATTGTCACTTGATTTCCTCACAGAGAACAATCAGAACTCCTTGTCTTAAGTGGCTTGGGATGTGAAACTAGTTAGTCTCTTAGATACTGTTAGAGGACCCTACAGAGCCCATTGGTGAAAGTTTGGAAAGCACTGGGCTTCTTAAGATTGATTCTTGTAGTGCTTCAGGAAAGATCACTGAACCAAAAGGATAACGGTGTTTCTGGTTCTGTTGTTAGTGTTCTCCATGGAAACATTGCTGAAGCTTCTGGACTCAATTTCCTTCCCCATGTGTGAATGTCACTGAAAAGATCCAACTCCATTCTATCCCCATGTAACTTCAGAAACTAAGCAAAATGAAGACTCAAAATTCATTTCAACTAATGAAATGAATATAAAACGTAGAGTGGAACTGGGAAAATACCTGGTTTAAATTCTGGAAAGTACCAACTATACAATTCCGGATAAGTTGCTTCATCTTGCTTGGTATAATTTAATGCCCATCTCACAGGATGTTATGATGATTAATTTAATATCTTTGTATAACGTACAGTGTTATGTAATTTCTTCTTGTTTTTCTTGAGTAAATTCATATCCTTAAGCAACTCACTGTAAACAACAGTTACTTACTTGCTTAAATTACTCTTATCTTCTATTATCAGCTGAATTGTGTCCTGCTCAAGTTAATATGTGGAAGTCTTAACCCCCAATACCTGGTAATATGACTGTATTTGGAGATAAGGCCCTTAAGTAGGTAACTGAGGTCAAATGAGGTCAAATGGGTGGGCTCTAATCCACTACGACTGGTGTCCTTATAAAAAGAAAATATTAGGACACAGACATGCACAGAGAGAAGACCATGTGAAGACAAAAGGAAAACATGGCATCTACAAACCAAGAAGGGATACTTGAGAAGAAATCAATCCTGCTGACACCTTATCTCAGATTTCTAGCCTCTAGACCTGTGAGTGAGTAAATTTCTGTTGTTTAACCTCCTCAGTCTCTGGTACTTTGTCATGGCAGCTCTAGGAAACTAATACAACTTTTTATGGCCTCCTTGTCTCAAGTTGAAAGTTCAATATTTGGCATCATAGCTAGGAAACAAAAATATCCTCTACATTCCTTGTTGTAGTCTTTCTTCCCCATTCTCATTGCTAGTAATTTCCATATTTGGGTCTCTTTTCTGTGCCTTGTAAACAGAGCGTTACGCTCATTTCTGGTCTTACTGCTAATATACAGTAAATGTGCAGATACCGAATAGATTTTGGAGAAGTGCAGCATATAGTTGGCGCATGTGTGTATGTCTGTGTATTCATATAGTTTATACTTTTTCTCTATTTTCTTCCTTTGGTGTGAGCTAAGATTCTCTGCTTTTGTGACGAGTACTCCTGAGTACTAATCCCTGAATTTAATTCACCAAAAATTGCCAAAAATAATAATAATATGGGGAAAGAGAGAGTGATAGAGGGAGAAGAACAAACAATCAGGCAAGGGCAGTACTGTGAATTATTAGGGTCTTATTAATAAGATTATGTTAGTCTAGAGGAAATGACTGTAAATATCATCAGTGAGCCCAGTTGGTCTTTACTGACTGCTAGACACATCCCTGAGTTCTGTTCTTAGTCCCCAACTGTATGATTACTACTGTCTGGAAGTATCATTTGAACAACTAAAGTCACTTAATGGAAAAGGAATATGTCTTTAGAGAGTCAACAGTAATTTTTCTATCTGATTAAAAAGGAATGTTGACTGTCTGGCAACCTCAGTCATATTTGTAAGCAGGAAAGCATTGGCTATTAAAAGTGGATGATGTAAAGAGATGAGCAGAAACTTTGGCGATAGGTATACCTGGATTTAATTCTCACTTCTACCGCTTGGTAGCTGGATAGCCTTAGGCAAGTTTCATACCTCCCTGAAATTCACTTAATTCAGTCTGTAAAATGGCATAATAACTTATTATAGCATCCTTTTAGGAATTTTAAATCAGTTCTTGAAATAAAAGTACACAATATATAGACAAGTATGGATTCCTCAATAGGTGTTTGACCTTTCATTTCTCCAGTATCCCACCCGCATCAAATAAAGAAAAATACTTTTTAAAATTTACGAATATTTCATTGTTGTAAAGTTAAAGCCATAAAAATAATCAAATGGCCTACTATCATACCGTTAGAAGAAAAAAAAAAAGGTGTTCATGAGAGTTCCATATTAGAATACAAGTTTTCCTTAGGCACCTGTTTATGTATGCTATTCTGCTCTTTACAATAAATAATTAAATTTAAAAGACTTAATTCCTCACTTTTAAGACCTTATTAGTTTACAAATTACATATTGACCTATGCTAAATTTTATACCGACCCATGCTAATGAATTCAGTACAGAAAACAAAAAACACTGCACTCAAGCAAACTACAT